CAAAGCCAAGACACAAATCAACACCGGCAAAGAGGTCGGCGTCGAAAAGCACTGGCATAATTTGAAAACGGTGTGGAATCAAACCTGCATGGAAGTTCTAGGCTGAAAGAGGAGACAGGACAAACAATGGCTCACTACAGACACTTGGAGACTAATAGAAGAGAGAAGGATGGCGAAATAAAAGATTATCCACTGCACTGACGAGCAACAAAAACAGGATTTGAATGCAAGCTACAATACACTGAACAAAAGAGTGAAGAAGAGTGCCAGGGAAGACGAAAGAAAATATTATGAATCCATGGGGAGTGAAGGAGAACAAGCTGCAGTGCAGGCAAAGGAGACCTCGCCACACTCTACCAAACAACTAGGCACCTATCGGGCAGAAGTTCGACACAGATTAAGCCAGTAAAGGATGACAATGGAAAGTCAATCACCAAAGAGGTGAAGCAAAGAAAACACTGGGCTGAACACTTCGAAAGACATCTGAATCGACCGCCACCTACAACGCGCCCAACAATACCAACAACGGAAGCAGAACTACCAGTGAACATCGACCCCCCGACGAAATCAGAAGTCCAGAATGCGATCAACATGCTAAAAGCTGGAAAAGCAGCAGGACCAGATGGAATCCCAGCAGAAGTATTGAAAATGGATCCAGAGACAACAGCAGACTTGATGACGCCATTGCTGGAGAAGGTGTAGAAGGACGGCAAAGTACCCGAGGATTGGAAGAAAGGATACTTATTCAAACTACGAAAGAAAGGAGACTTAAGTCAATGCAAAATCTGGCGCGGAATTATGCTCCTGTCCATCCATCTCAAGCAAAATACTAAGCCCCATCATCCTGGAGAGAATCAAACACGCCAAACTGGATGAAAAACTTCGATCGGAACAAGCTGGATTCAGGAGAAACAAATCATGTGTTGATCAAATCGCCACTCTACGGATCATCATTGAACAAAGCTTGGAATGGCAGTCACCTCTCTACATCACTCAACTTCATCGATTTTGGAAAGGCCTCCAGCAGACAGAGTCGATCGAGAGGTGATTAGGCAACTACTTTGCTACTACGGGGTGCCGTCGACAATTATACATCTCATCCAGCAGTTATACGACAATACTGCATGCAAAGTAATCCACAACGGGAAACTTACGGAAGCCTTCGAAGTGAGGACGGGAGTGCGACAAGGCTGTCTACTATCGGCAGTGATCTTCCTGATTGCAGTAGATTGAATAATGAGACAGAAAACGGGCAATGAGGAAACAGGCATAAAATAAACTCACACAAAAATCTTGAAGGATCTGGACTTCGCCGATGATATATGTCTGATTTCCCACAAATCTGAAGGTATGCAAACGAAAAGCAACAAGCTGGCAGAAGAAGCATCCAGAGAAGATAGTACTACGGCTGAACATAGGTAAAACGGAGGTGATGGAGATTCCTGGCCAACACCAGCAGCAGCAACAACAACAGACAACAATCAGCCAGTATAAATGAAAGGAACCTGAAAGAAACAACCTCATTCACTTACTTACCCACCTGTGAAGCATCGTTTCAGCTACAACAGTAAATATAAGCCCTCAAACACCTCGAGAATAACAAGGATACAGTGATCACAAAGTCAGACAAAGGAGACGCAACAGTAGTATTGGACAAATCAGACTACTTGGACAGGGTGAATACTCACATACAAACAGGACTATATGAGGAAATCAATAAATCAATATACACCGTTATGAATAAGATTGAGAAATCCACAGCGGACCATAAACGTCGAATGAAGACGTTTCTAGGTGAGTCTAAATGGTTTAATTTAATGCCCGAAACTAATAACCTCTGTAGGATGTATGCTGCTGTAAATGTTCATAAGTCAGGCAGGATACCCTATTAGACCTATAGTTGATTTTAGATATTCGCCTACTAATGTATCATCTAAATATTTAGCCATGAAATCAAATCCCCTTAAACGCCACTCAAAATCTAGACTAAGAAGTTCTTATGAACTAAAACAAACAGAAGATAATTTAAAATTAGACAATGAGGAGAAAATGGTTACATTTGACATTGTCAGTTTACATACACGTATACCAATGAATATGGCTGTAGAGGCAGTTAGAAACAAACCCATTTCTGACCAAGAACTCGAAGTTATGACGGAAGTTCCACTTGAGGACAAAATTCTGGGAGTGGAGCTACCTATGTCTGACTTCCACAGTATTTAAATTCCAGGGTAAATATACAAACAAACTGATGGTGTTTCCACGAGATCACCAATATCCCTTGTTTTGGCAGATATATTCATGAATAGGTGGCAGAACATAATGGTTGAAATGTTTAGTCCCACCCGATGATGATAAGGACAACAGGAAGAATGAGGAATCTAAATAATTAGTAGTAATTGCATACAAGGAAGGAACCTCGGAAACCTTACGCAGAATTCTCAAAAAGGAATGATAATGTCTGGAATTCAAACCACACATAGACTCAGTTAGACGCAAACTTTGTCGGTAAAAGGAACAATCCTGTGGACCAATTTAACAAAACAATTTAGTTTATCTAATACCCTGTGTGCGCTGATTGTCAGGTCAAATACACATGTCGAAATAGTAGTGGAACAGGCTCAGTGAGTCAGACTAACCGAGCATAAACACCTATCAGCGAAATCTAGATTAGTTGGCACGAAAAAGATAAGAAATCTAGAGAATAGTTCAGCTATAGCACTCACTACATGCAATTGCACACAATCATACAATAGGACGGATGGGATAAGATGACAGATTCAAAATCTGATGTAACGGGTGAGCGGAGAGACGGATAAATTGATGAGTGACTGAGGCTATGTTTCTCGAATCAACTGCAAATACGTGTAACAGGAATGATTCAACACCTGTCTAGTTGGATATCTGGAAAATTCTACAACACCAACGACGACAAATAGGAGGGAACAGAGGAAACTATCAAAGTGAAGTTTCGAAGTCGAAGTCGAGTGATTCTAATTGATATGATTATGAACCAGGATAAATTTTGTTGGAAACTGTGTCATCCAGTGCAGAATACTGTTTCACTGCTTGATACCCCTGGTAAACAAACCTATAGGGAAAAGCTTGTAGCTGCATGTATACTATTAGGTTTATCTTTTATCACATGTTCATGAGTTTCTAAGTATATGACCTTACTTCACACAAGAGTATAAATTGGTTGACGATAAATGCCCTTTCACGTATTCGAAAGCCAGATGACACTAACTCATATGTTATTAACTCTGCTCACTGTACTCGTTGCTCTCATTGTCTCAACTCTACAAACAACGATCAATACAACTGAAATATACTCCAATACTACTGAGGAATACTCGAATTAATCTGAAACCTACGCCAATACCATCACCGAATATATCAATTATAATATGACTAATAATAATAATATAATAGTTACTATAATATTTTATGATTTGAGGTATTCAACGGGATGCTTTCCATCTAAGTTTCTTGTTCCTTGGGACTCGTCAGCACGACCTATCTTCGACGTCGAAAGAAAGCATTTTCATTTGGGTATTTGAGTGCGTCTCATTCAACGCTGAAATCATCAACTTCTGTCACTGAGGTAGAGTATTTTATACCTTGAATGTATTCGGTCAAGAATTTATGCTACTTATAAGTAAGTGAACGTTTATAACGAATATTTGTCTTATCGGTTGAAATATATACTTGCGTGGGACAATAAACTGATCGATAGAGCTGAGTAGCTGTGCACCACTCATATTAACTTGTGGTACTTACTAGCCTGATTGAAGTAACCTAAACACTGGAAAACCGTTTCTTACATTTGTCTCCAGTCTTATTATCCGTGTACTGAGTTTAACTCAGCTCAAATAGCCGAATAAGTTCAAATCATTTCGGTTTTTTTAAGGAAATTTTTGTGAAACCTTACTTCAAACTTTGTGTAGATAGCAAAGCAGTTTACAAATTGTGGATTCAACTTATTGTAGAACCATTTCAAAGCAAGGATTGGGAAGTAAGACAAGCTTTCATCGCTCTCAAGTCTGTGTGGAGGTCAACAACACTCACCATCAAATATAACATCCGGATTTTCAACTCCAATATGAGGTCAGTCAGCGCTACTCACTATACGGATCAGAGACTTGCACTGCGCGTCATAAACAGCATCTCAAACAAACTACAGACCTTCATTAACAGTTGTCTTTGCTCAATACTCCACTGAAGATCAGATGGCCGGCCAGAAAAGATCAGAAATAGTGAGGGATATCTGGCAACGAGCGAACCAACCCAGTGGGAACCGATTGTGAAACAAATATGCAGGAAGAAATAGAGATGGATTGGCTAGCCATACTTTGAGGAAATTAACCATCAAGTGACATCACTAGACAAGCCATCGCTCGAGTGTAACCCGAAAGGGAAGCGGCGAGTTGGTTGCCATTTCAAGGGTGACTTGGAGGAGGTGATGTGAAGAGGAGATGAAAGCGTGTGGGCAGACTTAGAGTGGGGCGGAAACTTTGGGAGAGAACCGAACGAAATGGAGACGCGCAGATGAATCCCTATGTTCCTCTATGAACTAAGGTAAGTAATAATTTCACCCAATTGGCCACATTAATGTGTAGAAATCAAATGGTTTCATCTGATTCAGCTCCGTGGTGTGTCAAACCGATTGCACCACTGATTATCTCAGCCTTAGATTGGCGACGCGTCTGTCCGTTGGTTAGATCACTCCTATCTGGCTAGCCATAACTACTGATTGGTTTGAGTGGCATATAACTACTAATTTTAATCAATCATTGGTTTATAGTTTTATGCACTGATACTTGCTTTCTTGATTACCATTCATGGTATCAAGCTGATCAGATATTGATAGATCTGAATAATTTCAGTTTCCATAGGAAATTGTGGTGAAATTTCCCCTCTTCGAACTGTGGAAACTACAAGTTAATTTAAAGAATTGCAGATTCAATTTAATATATATATATATATGCATATATACTTACTCGTATAATAGCCAATATCTTTGCTTTCCAGAACTCCCAGACGCTGGAGCACAAGCCGACTGTATTTTCCATATAAAAAGTGATGAAAGCAGCTCATTACTATCGCATATATCGAACCAATCCCCATCTTGAGATTGTTCAGTAAATAATCGAAGACATTTTAATTTGGAATTCAAACTTCTTTGTGAAGAACTTGTTATCTCAGTAGGTGGACAATTTTTAGCTTCAATGATAGTAAATTTCATTTTTATTGTACATATAAGTATATAAAGCATTAAAGTAAATAGGGGATATGCGTAAGCTGACATTGTGTGCTATCTGTTGAGTGAAGATATGCTAAGCTTACAGACAATTTATTTTAAATACTTTTTGCAGGATGATGTCAAATTGTTGTTTTCATAATAGTTATCATGAGATCATTTCGTGTCTGATCATAAATTTTAGTTTTTAGTCAACAAAATGATTTCAAAGGTTACAGTTGCTGAAGGGGTCATTCAACTTTTTTTAAAAAAAAACAGGCGTAATACGAAGTATAATATCGAGAGAAATTATATATAAGCTTTTATGTAGCGGACGTTAGTCACACTATCCATATCTCGATAGCATATGATGGTGATCACGATGATGATGATGATGATGATAGTCTAGAAATGTGAACTTCTCAATTTTTAATATTCTTTTCATATATATTTTATAACTTACGAGAAAGTATTTGACAGTCATAAATTGATGTCATTTGAGTTCATCAGCGCACTTAACTGAGAAACTACTCTATATAGTGAAGACGATAATATGCTTATTAAAAAAAAATATATAGAAACGTGACAGTTCTCATTAATATTGAACTACTGAACTCTATGTTTAATGAAGTTAAGTTGTAACCTCGATATCTGCAGCCTTAGAAGAAGAAAAACCCTTGGATACTTGTTTAAATGAAATGCTTTTCTATAGTTTGGTTTGTAAGGGTTAGTTTTGCTGTTACGAATTTAACCACAGATTGATATCAGTTAGAGAACCACTGGAAAACCACACAATGGGTGATGGATATCTGTTCCATCCTAGTTTGGGAACCATCGGCAGTACGTACTCACTGGGGCTCGAACCTAGGATCTTCCGGTTACAAAGCAGGCTGGTAATCGATTCAGTCACTAGGACCCGATTAAATGGCCAGTCCATGAATTCTAACTTCTACTAATTCGTGATTTAGCACAACCCCAACCATTGTTGTAGGTGGGACATCCATCCTCACGCGTGACATCTGGATGGAACTCACTGGTCACAACTTCTCACTAGAACTCCATGGTATACGAGCTTGTCTTGTAACCGGAAGCACCTGGGTTCGAATTCCAGTGGATGCGTACTGCTAATGATTCCCAAACTAGGATGAAACAGCAGCTGTCCAGTACCCACTGCTTGGTTTTCAATGGTTCTCTAACTGATATCAATCCGTGATCAACTAGTAAAAGAAAAGAAATGATACTTTTTTTCATGAGTATGGCTTATTATGCATCTTTCATTTTATATTATTATTATTGTATCCTTTAGTTCCTAGAGGAACATACGGCTTCAGCTGCGCACCTCCATTGACTTCGGTTTTCTGACAACTTTTTCAACCTGCTCCAGGTCTGTCCACATGCTTTCATCTCCTCCTCGCATGACCTCCTCCAAGTCACCCTTGGACGACCAACTCGCCGCCTCCCTTTCGGGTTCCACTCGAGCAATGGCTTGTCTAGTGATGTCACTTGATGGTTTCCTCAGCGTATGGCCAATCCATCTCCATTTCTTTCTGCCTATTTGTTTCACAATCGGTTCCTGATTGGTTCGCTCCCAGAGATCCCTGTTGCTGATCTTTTCTGGTCATCTGATCTTGAGTATTGAGCGGAGACAGTTGTTAATGAAGGTTTGAAGTTTGTTTGAGATGCTCTTTATGACTCGCCAAGTCTCTGATCCGTATAGTAGCACTGACTTCACATTGGAGTTGAAAATCCGGATCTTATTTTTGATGCTGATTGCTGTTGACCTCCACACAGATTTGAGAGTAATGAAAGCTTGTCTTGCTTTTCCGATTCTGGCTTTGATGTCCTCGTCAGTTCCGCCTGTAGTTGAGACGATGCTTCCCAGGTAGGTGAAGGAGGTTGTTTCTTTCAGGTTCTTCCCATTTATGCCTATTGTGGTCTGTTGGTGTTGTTGATGTTGGCTAGGAATCTTCATCATCTCTGTTTTATCTATGTTCACGTGAAGTCCTATCTTTGATGCTTCTTCTGCCAACTTGTTACTTTTCACTTGCATATCTTCCAGTTTATGGGAAATCAGACATATATCATCGGCGAAATCCAGATCCTCCAAGTCTTTTGTGTCAGTCCATTTTATGCCTGTTCCCTCGTTGGTTGCCGTTGTCTGTCGCATTATCCAATCAATTGCAATCTTTCATTTTAAGTATTCTTAATTATAATTATTATTATTCCCTTTGGTTCCAAGTGGTAAATAGGCCATCCACAACAGATCTTCATTTCATCCTGTTCCCTAAAGTTGTCTTTAGTTGACTCTACGAGTGACCATAAACTGTCTTCTTCTGAACATCACCTTGAGAACCAAACCCAACCCACCGTTTCTTATTTGGGTTCCACTATATGGTCGATATGTCACGTGATGTCACTTAAAAGTCTCCTTAGAGTGAATCCGATCCATTTCCACTTCATTTTGTATATTTTTTTGGAGGGGGGGCAGTAGGCATTTGGTTGGTTCACTGTCTCCTAGAGTCTCATGGTTCTGATGCTTTCTTGAGACCTGATCTTCCTGTATGAGGGTAATAAAGTCAGCTATTGATGAAAGTCTTCAGTAGCCTGTTGGAAATGCTTTTGTTGATTCAAGCATCATAGTCTATGGAGCATACAGAAGCCCAAGTGGATTTGATATTAGTGTTGAAAATCTAAATTTTGTTTCGTCTGCTGTGTGGATTAGATTTCCATGTTCATTTCAGATTGATGAACATCTGTTTCACCCTTCCGACCTCAGTTTTTGTATCCCATTCTGTGTGTCACTTATAGTTGAAACGATACTATCCAAATAATTGAAAAACGTGACCACCTCCAAATTTCTACGGTTGATCAGTGGTTGGTGGTTGGTTCACTTCAAATCTCTTCTTCACTTCCAGCCTCTTCTGCCAAACTTATTCGTTCTCGTCTGTAGATATGGGAGTTTGTGTGATATTAGACATAAAATTGTCCGCAAATTCCATATTTTCTAGACTTTTATTACCGATCAAGCGTATTCCTGTCTTCTCGGTGTCCACTGTCTTCCTTGTTGGCCAAGTCTCTGGAACTTATGAAAGCACTGACTAACTTGACACTGGTGTTGAAGACACGAATCTTTTTCCTTATTTCGATTGCATTAGATTTCCACATTTATTTTTATTTTTTTTATATTTTTTATTTTTGATTTACAGCTTGATTCCACACCGTATTTTTGGTACAAGTGTGGAATTTTCAGCGTGGATATCGGTAGCCCAAAATTCGCAGGCCGACCATAGATATCAGGTGTGCGTCGGCGTGGGCTCGAACCCCGGACCATGTGCATGGTCGGTGAGAGTCCTAACCACTGTGCCACCGACGCACAGTTTCAGACTCGTTATGGTCTGTTTTGCTTGTCTGATACTGACTGACCCTGACATCCTCATCTATGCCCGCCGTCTTTAGTTGAAACGATACTGCTTAGATAAGTAAGAGAAGTAACTTCCTATAGGTTCTTCCTATTGATGGTGATTTGTACCCGTTGTTTTTCGTTGGTGAGTATTTTTATTTACCTTTATTCACTTGAATTCTTGCCTTTGTTGACCTTTCTGAAAAATTCTTCGTTTTTACTTACAGGTTTTCCAGTTAGTATTGTACTAGACATAAAGTCCAGGTCCTCTTAAGTCCCTTTTTCAGTCTAATCTGTGCCTGTCTTCTCACTCCCCATAATACTGTTGCATGATCCTGTCTACCACGATCAGAAATATCTTTGCTAAGTTTTCCGCTGTGAATCGGCTGACACCTGGCATCGTCATATAGCCGTAAACTGGTGAACTAGACAGTTTTACGAGGTTGTTTTTAATTATACTAGTTGTCACTATATGCCATATCCTCGATTAAAACCTGAATGAGAAGTGAAGCGCTGAGGGTTGGAGGTTGGTATAAAGAAGATCATGTTAAAAAAAAAAGATAAAACCCCTTAGGGAGTTGTCGAACCAGCTGAAAGTAATGGCAGAGAATCATGTGCAAGGAGGATATGTCGCTTAGACCCTTTGGTCCACTCAGAACTAAAAGAACGAATAGTATTAGTAGTTTTTACGAGTTTGACTACGGATTGATTTCAGCTAGAGAACCGCCGGAAAACCAAGCAATGAGTACTGGACAGCTGTTTCTTCCTAGTTTGGGAACCATAGGTAGTACGCACTCACTGGGCCTCGAACCCAGGTGCTTTCAGTTACAAGGCAAGCTCGTACACCATTCAGCCACTGGGACACATCTCATCACGAAGTGGTAGAAGTTAGAATTCACGGGCTGGACATTGAATCCTGTCCCAGTGGCTAAATGTCATACGAGCTTGATTTTTAACCGGAAGGTCCTGGGTTCGAACCTAAGTGGGTACTGCCGATGAAACAGCTGTCCAGTACTACCTGGTTTTGAGTGGTTCTGTAACTGATATAAATCCCTGGTCAAACTCATAAAAATAAATTTAATCCTTACAAACGAACTCTTGAAAAATATTAATAGTATTTATATATGCGAGTTGCGTATCAGCTGGTCAGAACTGTCACCAAGTACCTAGTTCATATTAGTTCACCACAACCATAATATTACTCAGATTAGTCAAAGAACCACTTCATTTGAAGACCTTAATCGAGGAATACTGGTGTTTTTGTGACATTTAAACTAATCAACACTAGAAACTTCCAGTACTTTCTCATAACAAACATAGAAGAAGTTAGTAGTTGGTACGTACAGCATACTGGCCAACATTCGTTGATCACAGATATCTAACACAAATATTTCTCACGTGTAATCATTTTCATATTGATCATATGCCTTTAAGTGGTGAATAGTTATCATCGTCATGTAAACTAAAGAAAAAACATAAATACTTTGATCTTGAAAGGATCAAAATATCTGTAAAAGGTCTCAAAGGCGCAAAACAAAAAAGATATGCTAAACTTGGATTGATTTCCCTGCTAAGCATTATGTCTAAGATCGAATACTGGATCATTCAGACTGATGTTACGCCCTAGCTATTCATAACATGACTGACTGTTTATGCATCGGCGGCACAG